ACCCAGCTAGACTCAGTTGGTCCCTGCTGGACCCAGCTGGTCCCTGCTGGACTCTCACGGAACCGGGTCTTTCTGTGTTTTTGTGTCTCTGCAGTCTCCTTCAGACGGAGCGCTGGTTTTGAGGGCCTACAGCCGCCGGAGGGGCGGTGCAGCCTCTTTGATAAATACAGCAGTGACACGTGTAAAGCTGCCGGTGGCGCGTGCGGCCGCCACGGCGCCGGCGCCGCGCGGACAGGTGAGGCGGAGACGGAGAGGCCGCGTGCGGCGGGACTCACCTAAACTGCCGGTGAATCCGTCCATTTTCCGGGAGAAAAGCGGGAGTCCGGGCCGGAGGCCTGCGGAGCCTCAGCGCGCACTGCGGGCCTCCGTCCGGGTTTTTCCACTGCGGCGGGGGGAGGAGGCGAGACGAGCCGTGCCGAGCCGAGCCGACCTGGGTCTGTCCCCGCAGCGCTGCCGGGTCGGTCCGTCTGCGAGGCCGAAGATCCGCCGCTGAGCTGCGGCTGAAGAAGCTCCGGAGGATCCGAGAGAAAGAACCGCGGAGACTCGACGGACCGACGGCCGCTTCCGACTCCGCCTCTCTGGCAGCGCGCGCTTCCCTTGGGGAAGGGGGGCCTCAGGTTTCAGCGGCGCGCGCTCAGGTGCTGCAGCGCCACCTGGCGGTCAGTGTGCGTCACCACGGCGGGCTGAGCTGAGCAATAAGATCCATTTAAATATTTACTGATCAAGTTTAAATAAAATCCTGGTAAAAATGTTCGGATTTATATTACCAATCAATAATCAATACTGTATCAGCCATCCTGTGGGTTCCTGAGGCTTCTCAGCGATCAATACAAACAAACTGAGACCAAAGTTGTCTTTTATTTTGTCAAATACAAAAAGATAAAAATTCACTTTATAAAACAGTCCCTTCAGAATAAAAGAAAAAAGCAGAACACATAATCAATAAATCTGGTTGATTTGTTCAGTCGGCTCAGATTTACAGAACATTTAATCAATAAATCTGATTGGTCAGACACCCTGAAATCTTTATTCACACATCATTTAAACAGAACTTTATTCATTCAAAGCTTGTTAACATCAATCCAGTGTGGTGACCTGAAGGAGCGCCTTCATCATCGTCTTCATCAGTTTGTTACTTTCACACCTGCAGCGATCGATCGATCAATCAATCAGCTGATTGGAAGAAGAACAAACCTCTGATGAGGATGATGAAGATGAAGCAGGCAGTGAGCAGTAAACAGCCCTCAGGTCACACCTGTTCAGGTAAAAGGCCTCTCTGGTGCAGAGCTCAGTCACATGACATCAGAGAAACAAACAGAAGCTGACGTTCTTCCAGAACAGCAGAACCACGACGTACGTCACCTGTCAGGTGTGTACTCAGTCTGTTCTCCGTTACCACAGCAACGAAGAGGAAGAAGAAGAAGAAGAAGAAGAAGAAGAAGTGGAAGAAAAAGACAGAAGAAAAGGAAGGCACATCTGACTGAAGAAAGTTGGTCCAGTAACACCTGGTGCAAGCTCCACCCTTTAGCGATGGAAGCCCCGCCCCCTGCAGGTGGAGGTTTCAATAGCTGAATCTGACCTTCTCAATGTCAGAGATCAGCGTCCTGGCCAGGTAGATCCCCACCATCTGAAACACAGACAGGTATGCAGGTGAAGCCCAGACAGGTGGGCCGGTACAGAAACGTCCTGTAATGCGACTGCAAACCTCCGTCAGAGGAGTACTGCGTGTGTCTGTAGTACTGTGTGTGTCTGCAGTACTGCGTGTGTCTGTAGTACTGTGTGTGTCTGTAGTACTGCGTGTGTCTGTAGTACTGTGTGTATTTGTACCTGCAGCAGAGAGATGACGATGAACACGATGGCGACGGTGTACAGGTTTCCAGGCAACCAGTCCTCCAGCGCCGTGATGCAGCCTTTGGTGTAGATGTGGTCGCTCCACTCCCTCTGCACAGAACGTTCACCAGGTTCTCATTAGAACATGAGCACTAACCCCGCCTCCTCCCCTATCGCCATGCAATGTCACAGTGATGTCACAGCCACGGACCTTCAGCGGCAGGTTTCATGGCGTCTCTCGTACCTGCAAAGACCCTCACCTGTCCAGCAGGTGTTCACACTGACAGAACAAGAGGTGAGCTCACCTTTGATTTGCTCCTCACGTCGTAGCCACACTGAGTGTTCACCACCGAGTCCTGCAGCGAGGAGAAGAACGTCGCACACGCTCAGATTGCACTGTACTAATGTTATTGATCAGAAGTGATCAGTATTGATTAGCGAAGAACTCACAGCAGGATCAGTGATGCAGCAGGAGAACGGAACCCCACACTTCTCCCTGCTGCGATGGGTTCCGTTGCAGCTGAAGTATATGTTCTGATCCCAGTCAACCGGATCCTGAGCACCGCAGCAGTGGTTCTGGTGACAGAACATAAAGGTTAAAGGTTCCACAGGAGAACATCCCTCTGACATGTCTCGGTTCTAAACTGACATGAAGGCATTAAAGCAGTACCACGCGCTGCAGGGAGTCGATGAGGTTCTGCAGGTCGATGTCGTCTCTGTACGCTTTGATGTTCGCCAGATAGAACTCGATGATCCATTCTCTGACCTGACCCTGAAAAACCACCGCCAGAACTGCAGCCGTCAGCTCCAGGAAGAAGATCAGGCCGATCACTCCCGAAAACTGACCAAGAACACACAGAGAGGCTTGAGATGAGGCGGAGAACATCCAGCAGCACACCTCCAACACGCACACCAGAACAGACACACGTCTAACGTACAAACTTCAGCAGACAGATGTTTTCCCTCAGAGCTCCCACGCAGCCAGCGAAGCCCAGGATGAAGGTGACTCCACCGACCACCAGGACCAACCAGACCGGGTCAAACCCATGTAGCCGGGTCACCTGAGTCAGGTCCGACAGGACTCCCTGTGAACCAGTAAAACCAGTACAGTCAGTCCAGTACAACAGTGGATGTGTAATGTGTGTAAAGTCATAATAAATGAAACATGATGTTAAACGTGTGCTCTTCCTGTTTGTGTTCATTCACCTTCTCACTCCAGGCCCAGAAACCAACCGCAATGAAAGCAACTCCAGCTAGCTGCAACACAGAGACACCAGCGATTAGACACATCCCACACTGAGCAGCATTTAGACACAATGACTGGGAGGAAGCGTTTGGCTCAGAGCCCTGTGATGACCATGTACAGCTGAAACCAGACGTTTACATCCACTGTATGAGAAGACATAAAACCTCTTTGTTCTCACCGTCTGACACTAAATCAGACTCAACGTTTCCTGTTTCAGCTCAGTCAGGACCACCAACATTATTTATATTTGCTAAACACCAGAATAATGAGACAGAGGATTTTGTTTAGAGAAGAGCATTTTTTTTAGAGCTTCTGATTGGCTGACTGACAACATGTGAGTTAATTGAAGGCACACCTGTGGGTGTATTTTAAAGCACACCTCAAACACTCTGCTTCCTTTGGTGACAACATGGAACATCTAAAGAAACCAGCCCAGATATCAGGAGAAGAACCGTGGACCTCCACCAGTGTGGTCCATCCTTGGATACAACTTCCAGAAGCCTGAAGGTTCCACGTTCATCTGTTCAGACAGTTCGATCAAACATAAACAAAGGAGAAAGGGGGAAGCTTGAAGCCTGAGAACACCATCCCAGCTGTGGAGCACGGGGGTGGCAGCATCATGCTGTGGAGGGACTGGTGACCTTCACACAATAGATGGCATCATGAGGAAAGAACATGATGTGGAGATATTGAAGCATTATCTCCAGACATCAGCAGGAAGTTACAGCTTGGACACTAATGGGTCTTCAGATGGACAATGACCCTCAGCATAGCACCAGATTAGCTACAGAGAGGCTTCAGGACAACAGAGTCAGTGTTGTGGAGCGGCCATCACAAAGCCCTGATCTCCATCCTGGAGAACATCAGTGGAGCAAGGAGACCAACAAACCTGACCCAGTTCCACCAGTTCTGTCAGGAGGAATGGGCCAGAACTCATCAGACTGTTGTGAGAAGCTTGTGGAAGGAAACCCAGAACGTTTGACCCAAAGTCATAGAGTTTAAAGGCAACGCTAGCAGATACTGAGGAGATGGATGGAAACTTCTGACTCTGGAGAAAGTCATAAAACATTCTCTGTCTCATTATTCTGGTGTTTAGCAAATATAAATAATGTTGGTGATCCTGACTGAGCTGAAACAGGAAACGTTGAGTCTGATGGTGAGAAAAAAAAAAAGGTTTTATGTCTTTTTATACAGCTGATGTAAACGTCTGGTTTCAAGATGTCTGTTCCTGACTCCAGACTGATGAACTGCTCTAAACTAACTCACGTAATACTGGTAATGTGTCACTTCCTGCTCCCTCAACCACACAGGATGTCAGTGACATCACTTCCTCTGAAGCAGAGACAGACAGGAAACAGATTTCAGTCCTGTTTCCTGTTTCTGCAGCAGTCAGTGTGCACGGACACACCACACAGAACTCACAACACACAGTCCAACAAGTCAACATCACTCACAATCCCACAAGCTGCTGACTGAGCAGTGGCACATGATGACAGGCAGAACGTTTGAACATCATAACTAGTCAGTTACTCTGACTAGCTGTGGTTTTTATTCCAGGTCTGTGTCCCTTCATTCTGACCAGTTAAACCAGTCAGATCTCTGTGAGTCTGTCAGTCACAATAACAGCTGCACACGTCTCAAACCTCACTGGTCTGAATTGTTGTGATGTTGTTGCTGATGCGAGTCTTCTGATTGGATGTTGGTCCAGCAGGCTGAACAGTGGCATCAGCTGCTGAGGAGGACCAGAGGTTAGCAACAGAAAGCGCTCATCAGCAGGAGCTAGTGGAGAACCACAGCTTTGTTCTTGGTCCTTGGAGGTTAAACTCTCTAGAACTTGGTCCTCACTGCTCTGACTTGGAGGTAAAACAGGTGCCAGATGTGGTTACTGAGTCCTAGTAGGTCTGAAGAACAAGCCGTAGCTTCTAACTACAGAAATCTGCAGCATTATTTAACCATCACAACTTTGATTGTACACATCTGTGATCACATTCTGAGGAGGCAGAGTTCCAGTTTGAGATCCTACAGCATCAATCTGATCAGTTCAAACCCACTTAGGAGCCTGAGAGGACAAAGTAGACCTGATGAACTAAATTAAAGAAATCTGGAACTAGAATTATGAGGAGTAAGAATTAAACTGTAGATAAACTGGAATTACAACTAGTCAGAGTCCAGCTGCTGGTAAACTCAGTGTGAACTGCAGAAGTCTGTGAGAAACACAAGACGGTAAAACACCAATGAAGCTGTGGAGAATCTGAGATGTTCTTCTGGACTCACTGAGGTAAAGATACCTGAAGGACAGAATTCACATAAAGCTGAAATTTAAAACAGCCTGTCAAACGTGAGTTAGGTTTACGGTCAGTG